AATCGTTGCAATTTTATAACCGAGAACGCTTGTAGCACACGCTGTCACTTTCACAAGAGGTAATTATATGAACTACAAAATTATTATGTTCTCCTTACCAATAACTACTTATTCAAAGCTTAATATTTTTTATATATTTGATTATATAGTATATATTGCCATTATATAAACTATGGAAAATATGAGCACTGATAATCACGATATCATATTTATCAAAACGAACAATACATTTATTGCGGATCTTATTTCATACAACGCATCACAGTGTAACGTCTTATTTTTAGTCAATTACTTGATTTACAACTAGCTTTACTACCCGGCTTCGCCCGGGACTTGGATTCACCACGGCCGGCCGCCTTTGTCTCCCCAGTGGCGATGTTCACACACCACACCAGTTAATTGTTTTAGGCTGAGTCGACCTAGGGGAGGCCCAGAACCGGTTGAAATAATCGTCACCGGTGGTGGCCGTGAATCGAACTCGGATCGCCGGGTTCGTAGCGCACTACGCATGCGCGGTTGACATGACAGATGTGACGTCACAGCTCACTTGCCGTGCAAAAAATATGGATTATTGCGGCCCCCCAACATTTTTGCATGGTGTACAGTCTGGAAAGTACCCACTTGGCAAATTTCAAGTTTGTTGCATGTCGGGAAGTACGCTAAACATTTTGAACAGACACACAATCATAACTTTGCCTTTTATAAATACGGAGACGATTGAATGAATGGAACGCATCCGACAAAATATCCACCAATAGAGAGGGAGTGATGAAATAATTTAATGTGCGGATTCTGGTGGATCATAATAATTATTACATCACTGGTTTGTGGCGGCCCAGGGAAGACTTCATCCCGGAGTGGATTAACCAAGGCTGATGATAATCATGACATCACAGTATCGCCGCATCGCTGGAACCCGACCGACCACTCTTGAGAGGAAGTAGCGTGTGTTCCATCACGGGGGTTGGGGAGGTGTACACGCGCGAGGCATGTGCGGTGCGTAACAGATTAATTACCGGCCGTTGCTCTCTCCCACTCGTAAGCCTCATTTAATTGTTGCCTCGCTGCAGTTTTCTAATCACGTGATACTTTTTTTCCATTGACGCAGCCCATTCCTGTTAATTGAAATGTGATTGTTGCCATTAAAGTTAGCGTAACATTGTGTGATTATTTTTTTAATTATGTTCTTTCCACAATGTACAGATACTGCATTGACAACATACTACTTTACAATACGGCATACATATTACATTTATCCAAGTCATCACAAACCAAGGCCCGAATAAAAAAGTAAAATAATGAAATAAAAACATAGCCACACAACAGTTACATGAATAAACATAACAATATTGATGCCCTTTAGTCTCTACGAATCTATCAGGAAGGCCCTGCAAAATCAGACATTCTATATTGCTATTATTATAAGTAGCATATATTATTTAAAAAAAAAACCCATAAAATCAGGTACACTGAAGGGCGATTTAATTTCATCTGCACCAAAGCTGAGTCCCAATGCAGCCGATGCTTATTGTCAGAGCATCAGATGTTTGCGGCAGGTTTGTTATTTTTTTCTTCGGGTCTTCAAATTTTAACTTTCACATTTAAAATCACGTGTTTCGAGTATTTGGCTGCTATAAATTTCGACATGATATTCCACTTCGTTGGGCTGCCATTTGTGGCCAGGTCACTTCTGAAACGAGCGACGTAGCTCAGTGGTTACCTGGAATAGCCCTGCACTGGGGGCACTGCATAACCAAGCTGTAGTTATTTACCTGCCGTGTTATTTACCTGCCAGGCACAGCGTCACAGCATCACACCTCCACAACATTGCTCACCTGATCAGCCCTCAAAACGTCAATTTTACGTCAACTTTCCCTTTGTTGCCCAGAAAGTGAACAGAGGCATCATGCGGACGCACCAATTCACGTTCTGTGGCAAAAGCGCCCTTTTGAAGCGATGCAGCTGCCATAGCTCATGTCGATGCAAAAACCTTCATGCCGGTGTGGCTTAACACCGTGGCTTTCCAGTGTCTGGTCTCCATTTCTGTGGCTGTCTCTACCCATCAGTGGAATAATCCATCCTGACACGGTGCCCTCCGGGGGTGGCACTGACTGTGCTCAGCCGTCTTCTGTCGTCTTGCTGAGTGCTTACATCTCCCTGGCTAAAAAAAACACAGGAGCCAGAACAGATCAGGCCCCACTTTATTAAATGCTCAGATGCATTTGTTTCTGCTTAATTACGAATGTCTTTTTTCCAAGCAAAGTCACCAGTCAGGGTGAGGATCCGCTGTAGCATATGGCTAAGCATGGCATGCTAATCGGCCATAACATTTTCTCAGGAGGCAATTAGGGAGTCCCTTCGTTGGCAGAGAGGAGAACGCCATAACCAGGCACTGGCAAGAGACAGGACTGCACCACCATTACAGCCAGTGACAACAAGGAAGGATCCTGCAGAATTGTGTTCAAAATATATATATAAATAATCCCCGCGCACATCCCATCACAACGAGAAGTCGTAGCCGTAGCCATAGAGCTGTGGTGTAACTCTCGTTTGTGCCGATTGTGTTTTGATGTCTCATGGGATTTTTTAAAATTTGCTCCGAGGTCTGTGTGTGCACAAAACGGTCCTGAAAATTTTGAAATAAGGATTTCCAGCAGTGACAATTCGTTTTCCTTCTATGATGCAGTGCGTACCAGTGTGTGTTAAGTAATTACTCGTGCTATTACGAGTTATTACATATACTGCTATGCGTAACATAAGACTTAGCTGCTGTTCACTTCAAGCTTCATGTCATTCACCACTTAACAGCATGTGCTGGCACACACTGGCCACCAGCCAGGTGGCTCAGTGGTAACGTGCACCTCTCAAAATCGGAAGATTGTGAGTTCACAATTATGGTTGGGATTGCCCTGCCCTCCAAGGAAATCCACAGTGGTTGTGAACCGATAATTTTAATCACTGGCTCAGAGCTTTAAACACAGGATGGGCACCATCTCAAATGTTAATTTGAGCAAGAAATCACCTTTACTTTTTGATTTGCTGGCACATAAAGTGCGCTGGTACACAATATATGGTGTGCACAATCTTTTTACAGTTATTTGTCAATGCATTGCTGGATAATGGCCTCCCCGAAATGTGTTTTGTCATGGTGATTGTGGTAAAATACTTCGCTACACTGGTCAGTGCGAGTTGGTGAAGAAGGGCTCAGGACCAGTTCCAAGATCACTGACCACTAAAAACGATGGCCAGAAATTGAACTGTGGTTACAATGAGCTTTATAAAAAGTGTGTTTGTTATGGTGAGGCGAGAGACATTATGAGCTGAGACAATACAATACATTGTTTCTCAATGTCACATCTAAATGCAGCCACATCTCAAGATTCCTGACTGAAACAGTGAGAATATTTATTCTCTTTCGAGAGGTGGTCAATCACAGGAAGAGGGAAAGAAGCAAGGTCTTGAGCTTGGACTTTGAACAGGGGCAGGGATTCGACAGCAGGAATGGCTTGCGGTCGGGAGTTTCAGAATGCTTGGAGCAACAGAGCAGAATAAGTGACCTCCCACTGTATTGAAGTTGACTGGGCGACTTGAATAGAAACCACGAGTGAGTTACTGGAGTGGAGGGTTGGTGATTGTGATGCTCAGCACTCAGGTGGCCTTCAAAGTCGCCAATTGGCAATAACAGTGCTGAACAAGTGTTCCATCTAGGGTCCAAACCAAACAAAGCCAAGAAATATGTATATAATAATTGAAAGAAACGATAGAAATGGAAAAGTACTAAAAAAATCTTTAAATGCTCAACAAAATGTTCAAGGTAGAGACAAAAAATGTGTGAATAAAATTAAGGCCAGCGGGTCGAAGTGCAGAGGCAGCAAAGCATGAAATGAAGAAACATGTTTATTTTCTATACATTTAAATGCATATTTCGATTATTTAAAATGAATTTCTGAAGATACATTCCTTTTCATTTTATTTTGTTTAACCAGATAGAAAATATAGCCTCATTGGCAAGAGTGACCTGGGTCACCAAAATGATTAAGGGCGACAAAACAACATGGAGAGTGAGTAACGTGGAACTAAACATGGAGAGTGAGTAACATGGAACTAAACAACATGGAGAGTGAGTAACATGGAACAAACAACATGGCGAGTGAGTAACATGGAACTAAACAACATGGAGAGTGAGTAACATGGAACTAAACAACATGGAGAGTGAGTAACATGAAACAAACAACATGGAGAGTGAGTAACATGGAACTAAACAACATGGAGAGTGAGTAACATGGAACTAAAGAAGACGGAGAGTGAGGAACATGGAACGCAATAACATGGAGAGTGAGTAACATGGAACACAATAACATGGAGAGTGAGTAACATGGAACTAAACAACATAGAGAGTGAGTAACATGAAACAAACAACATGGAGAGTGAGTAACATGGAACTAAACAACATGGAGAGTGAGTAACATGGAACAAACAACATGGAGAGTGAGTAACGTGAAACTAAACAACATGGAGAGTGAGTAACGTGGAACTAAACAACATGGAGAGTGAGTAACATGGAACTAAACAACACGGAGAGTGAGTAACATGGAACTAAACAACATGGAGAGTGAGTAACATGGAACTAACAACATAGAGAGTGAGTAACATGGAACTAAAGAAGATGGAGAGTGAGTAACGTGGAACTAAATCTGAGCAAGCGCTTTCCAGGGAGAAATAAATAAACGCTCATCAATTTAATATAAAATACAATTCCCTTTGACATATTGCTCGGTAAACTCTACTCTGAAAACATTCATGGAAAGAATTAAGGTAAAGGGAAAATGTACACAAAATGAATGTAATCGTTGCATTTGTAGGTAATCAGGCTTTAAAACGAGAGAGGAACTTCCCCATATTGCCTGTATTACGGTTGCACACCTTTGGATGTTGCCTGCTGCTCGACGATCGCCCGCGTTCTAATTGTCTGTTATCTTTGTCCTTGCTGGCCTGCTCAGGAGGTCGAGGTCAGTATTTAATTAATAACTTTTTTTGCATTCATTCACATTTTTTTAAGTGTGCGGGTGCAATGATTTTATTTTAACTACGCGATTCTTTCCAGCTGGCAAGATTATGATCTATTTATAATCACTCTTGGTCTTGACAAAAACATTTAAAGCATTAATCCTCTTTGGTTCTTTCGGTAAAGTCACGTAGAAAGAAAATAAATTAAATAATAGAATACGACATTTCGATTGCAACATAAGCAATCGTCATCAGGTAGAAAGCAAACCTAGTGAACTTAGAAATACAATGCAATCCAAAACAGCGAATCGGCTAACACAGCAGTCAGCACCTTACCTGGTTGATTGCGTTCTTACAAAGATTGCCGAAAGAACCTAAGATAAATTCCTGCAGTCACGAAAGCTTTAAATCAAGCACTAATCCCTAATGCCTCAGTTACCATATATTGCCATATCATCATAGGACCTCCTGTATTGCCATATTAAGTTTTGTTGCAAAATCCATATCAATAAGCGTGATGTTAATGCCAATCTTTTAATGTTAGCATCGACATTTTTTTTAATAAGTCAGCGTTGATTTGCATGTGAGTCGTGATTTTTGTTGTTTTATTTTTTACCTACGTGACTTTACCGAATAGAACCAAAGAGTTTGCATGTGAGTGTGTACACGTACGTGTGTGTATGTGTGTTTGGATAGCGGTGGCTTAGAGGTTAACGCACTACGGTATGAAAGCGTCAACCTCTGTTCGATTTCTGGCCACAGCTAACATTAGTGGCGAGATTATCTGAACAAATCCTGAGTCTCCCCTAGATCAACTCTTCCTTGAATAAAGTAGTATTTTTTTTGAATAAAGTAGTATTTTTTTTAGAATAAAGTAGTATATGGCGCAGTGTGCTGGCCACACCAGCACCTCGTGCACCCTGCCAGTCTGCATCGGTACTTTCAAACAGCACTTGACCCATAAACGCTATTTGGGGGATCTTTGCATTTGTATATATACGATTTTGTATAGTCTTAAGATTCAGTAGCTGGTTGCATAAAATACCTCAAGTAAAACATTCCCTTAGTTTACGTTGACTGAGTTAAGAATATAAAGCGAATGTCGCCCTCGGTGGTTCTTTAATGTAACAGTCAACACGTTCATAGTTTGCCAAAAAAGCCGAAACGCATCAGCTTTGCTATTTGCCATGTTTGGTGAGGAATTGTAGCACACGCTTTGTAATCCAGCACTGTGGAGGCAATGGTTCGTGGATTGCACAAATGTTGCGAAACGACTTTCCGTGGGCATCGCGATTCCATATCCTTGCTCACCAGAAGAATTTGGAACAGTAAACACATTTCTGCGGAGGGAGCTGGTAGGAACGTTGGGTTGCTCGGTCAGTGGCCAGGGTCAACGGCGGCACCACGTGGTGTATTCCGCAAATATGCCCGACTGTGAGGGTGGGCACAAGCCGGCGTGAGTAGGTTAAACGTTGATTTTTATAAGGGCACCACGGGGTGACCAGCCCCTCCCCACCCAGCCCCACCCCTCCCACCCCCCACCCAGCCCCACCCCTCCCACCCCCCACCCAGCCCCACCCTCCCCACCCAGCCCCTTCCCACTCTCCCCACCCAGCCCCTCCCCACCCTCCCCACCCAGCCCCTCCCCACCCTCCCCACCCTCCCCTCCCCATCTTCCCCACCCAGCCCCTCCCCACCCTCCCCTCTCCACTCAGCCCAACCCCTCCCATTTTTGGATGCACGACGGACGGACACAATAATCCCCTGTGGGTTGGTGTAACCAGGAGGTTCCTACCAGTAAAATGTCGATTTAGCCGGTTCTGTTCCTTATGGGGGATAGAGCGTTGCCACCTCGCACACATGGGATTTATTCAGGTGCTTCGATTTTCTCCCACATGTAAACACTCATTAATTGGCCGATAACACCTTCATCTATAGATGACTCAGAGCTTGAGCAATTGTTGGCACCATCTCACCATCTGGCTGCCTTTCCCACGTGTCTAGTTCCTCCTCGCGCCTCTGAGTCGCTCTCTCTCTCTTTGAGAGTGACAAAATACTGTGCAGCACTTTACAAGTTGAAATAATTATTACCATTAGTTATAGGAGACACCAGAATGCTTTTATTCTACGAAAAGGCAAATTCGCCAAACAATGAGTGAACATTATGTGTGCACACATTTAACGTGGGTGTCGGTGTTTTTCAGGAGGATTACTTTCGCTCCTGGGAGCAAGCCAAGCCATTTGACCAAGGTGAGCCCTGGTATCATTTTGTTGTTGAAATATCTGGCGGTGAGTCGCCGGGGAGCTTTTTGGCATCTCTTGGATGTTTCTCATATTGGTGTCATGTGTGGTGGCGTTTATTTCAACCGCGCATAACGAGACTGCTGCTGCTGATGCTGACCACCTGGGACGACGTGCGAGTGCAGATGGCGACGCACCTCCGAGAAGCGACGCACATGCTTGCGTCACCGTCTCACGTTTGCTTCAGTTGCAACGACTCACTGAAAAATGAATGGCAGAGCAACAGCAGAACGGTGGTGTGGTGGTTCGCGCACCGCACTCACTTGTGAATTTGGCAATCCCTGGTCACGGCTAACATCGGTTAAGAGTGATATTTGAACCGGTCATGGCCCCCACCTCCTCCCCTCCGCCCCCGCAATTCACCAACCCACACCCCACACTCACCAGTGTGGTGAAGTCTGGTGAAAAGAGCCCCATAAACAAAACGATATGGAGAGGCATTTTTTTTGTTATCTGTGGAATTACAAAGCGCCCTACATACACTTAGAATTCCACATGGCCACCTACGGCATATGTGTTCCACTTTAAAATGTGCACGTGCCGACATATTTTAGTCTTGGCTTCTGCGCTAAATATTTTTGAAGTATTTTTGGTTGCTTATTTGTTTTTTGTTGTTGCGTGAAGTGGATCATTTCGTGCAAAATGTTGGACCTTGGTGAATTATTCCTGCATTTGTATCGTACTGTTCACCTTTGCATCTCCCCTTGAAAAAGAAGTTACATAGGGTCCATGCATTTAAATCACCTAATCTTTGCATCAGTTATTTCCTTCTTTTGTCTACTCTTCTTAGCGTTAAACACATTTTTGCTATTACAATAGGTTTTACCCTTTCGGCAATAAAACAGGTGTAAAGATGTTAACACACCAAACAGAATCCTTTTTCAAGGAATTCTGTCTCCATTAAGCAGACGTACTTGTGGTGAACTAGCAAACAAAACATCTTCTGATAATATATGCATTTTCTTTTAAACTGATTAGTCCACACCAGACAGCTTTCTTTTGAGCCTAGTCTCAAAGTGTTAGATCAGAGAACGCCAAAAGGCAAACAGCACAAAGACAATGCCATTATCAAGGCATTTATAGCTCGGGGTGAGCAGCTACAATATTGGACCTTTCTTGCCAGTATCATTGTGAGTCAACGCATGCTCTCATTACATTTAAAACCAGTGCACAGGATGCAAACCGACAAACAACAAAAACAGGTTCGGAAATATGATGCATATGCGTGGATTATGTAACACTATTAAACATGTGCTTGTCTTCAGCACTATTGAATTAGTGGTACAGAAGTTGGGCACCTCTCAGGGCAAAACACTGTGTATTTGCAAGTACAGTCGTCCAGTTTCTTCTTGTTTTTCCCTTCAAGTTTTGGGCAACCCTTTGATGAATTGGGCCGGTTTTCAATATAGTTGTAAATCCACAGACGAAAGGGTTCGGGTGGATCTTGGAGGTCACGTGTTTACTGTGCAGCAGCTGCGGGAGCTGCTGGTTCTGGCAGAAAGTAGACAGCGCTTGGCGGTGTGGTGACATCATTGAGTTTGGCCATAATGACATCTTGGTTTTTAAGTTAATATATCAGCACAACGTTATACTCAAGTCTTGTTGAGTGTATAACATTTTTGCACACTTAATTCTCCTTACGAGGGTAATAGTGTCTCCCCATTATAGACGGACAAACGGACAGAGCGAATGCATACATGCTTTCAATCTTATTTATAAAGTATTAACTACCCGGCTTCGCCCGGGACTTGGATTCAACGCCCGGCCGCCTTTGTCTCCCTAATGGCGATGTTCACACACCACACCAGTTACGCGTTTGAGGCTGAGACTGAGTCGACCTAGGGGAGGCCCAGGACCAGTTCAAATAATCGTCACCGGTGGTGGCCGTGAGCGGGAATCGAACTCGGGTCGCCGGGTTCGTAGCGCAGCGCGCGAATCGCTACGCAGTCGCTACCCCCACACACACAAGATAAAGACAGATCCCCCGTGTAGCCTGCGAGACTGTAGGGGGCAAGTGGTGTTAGCGAGCGCCTATTAAGGCCGGAACGACACACGAGGGGGAGAGTGGCCAGCACCACGCCCGGCCTCCTTTGTCCACCCAGTGGCGATGTTCACACAGCAGAGCAGTTACTCGTTTGATGCTGAATTGACCTAGGGGAGGCCCAGGACCGGTAAAAGTAATCGTCACCGGTGGTGGCCGTGAGCGGGAATCGAACTCGGGTCGCCAGGTTCATAGCGCAGCGCGCTAACCACTACACTACAATGCGTTACGCTTCTACATGCGCGGGTCACATGACAGATTTGACGTCACAGCTCACTTGCCGTGCAAAAAAAAGATGCATTATTGAGCTTCACCCCCCCCCCCAAAAAAAAAAAACTAAAGTGTATTTTTATAATTTTTGCATGGTGTACAGTCTGGAAAGTACCCACATGGCAAATTTCAAGTTTGTTGCTTGTCGGAAAGTACGTTAAACATTTTGAACAGACACACATAATCACAACTTTGCCTTTTATATATATGAAGATTAAAATAATCACATTCAATATCAATATCAAGGGAGGGCAGGCTGCCCCTTCTGCCCCCCTCCTTGCGACCTTTGTTGGCTGTCGAGCGCGCACACCTACACTTAGCAGGGCGAGATCTCATTCCGTAGCTGAAGCTGTGCACGACGCTTTGTAAATAAAGTCGCGGATCGTTCCTGCAGAGACTTGGGATATGTCCGGCCTAATTACTGAATGTCATTAGAACTGAGATCTATGAATACACCGGTAGGCTCTGCTGTGTTGTTGCTGACGGCTGAAATTATTCCTCCATTGAAATAATGAACGTGATGAAGATAGGCAACGAGGAGGAGGTGGCGATAGCACAGGACCACCAGCAGTGGGGGTGCGGTGGAGGAGCGGAGGCTGCTGGGAAGAGATAGCAGTACCCCCGAGTTTTGCAATGGCCATGGAATAACAATGAGGCAGCATTTGGCTTGTTTTTTGTTTCATAACCGGCTGTGCAGCTGCGTGGCTGCTCCCGTAGCGGCATGCTCTTTTGTAGTCCGAGTGTGAGTGATATTGCTCTATAATATTCGGATTAGGGCCGGTACCATCGTCCTGTTGAACGACTTGCTGCTGCCGCCGCCGCCACCACCATAGCTCCCCCCTCTGCCACTCGCGAGCTGTTTTGGATGCCTCACACGTCCGTATCTGGGCTGCAAACGCATGTCAGGATTTAGGCCTCGTCACAATGTCACTGGTGAAGTGCCGCACGCAATAAAATAACATAAAATCCCTTTGTGTGCTGCACAACAGATGGAGTTGGGCCATGCCAGGCATCGAGGATCTTGTGCTGCCAGCACGAGGATATTTTTGGCAGTCAATGTTAACGTCTGTAGTGCGCCTTCTCCCATGTAAATCCCACAGACTTACAATAACGCATTTAGGGTCAAGGACAGGAGCCAAAGCATTAGATAAAGAATACATTTTCACTGATAATTAAAATCCATACGCATCGATTGGGCGATTCTTGGATGCGCCGATCATTTTCGAATATTTTTACCTCGTTTCTGAAACCTCTTAACGGACGGATAAATTAATTAGCACTAATTATTTTCGTTTTACATAGGATCTCGGTTTGTTGTCCATTTTTGGGATCGTTTTTTCATTTGGAATGGGATGACTTTGAGAGAGCGAGGCGCGGGACTCAGATGTTCCCTCGACCCCCCGTGATGCCCCCGGGTGTAGGCGCGTGATGCGCGGTGGGCCCCATCTGTTAGGCCGCAACGCATCCCAGGGAGGGCGTCCTCATCTGACCGCCGGCGCCCGGTTGCGCGTGTTGGGCCTGCGTGCGCGGAGCCCTTAATTGGAAACGTGAATTCGATAGGGTCACAATCTACGCAAATCTAAATTACAAATTCGCCGTGAATCATTACGAGCCATTGCTTGAGCACGCTATCACCGTGGCTCTGTGCGTGCTGCCCGTGCTCCAGATTTGTAAAATCGGGAGGCCGTGCAACGCCAAGGAAATTAATCAGTCAATCATATATCCCTGTAGTTTTACTATTTCTCGTCTGTTGAATGCGTGCAGACTACACTGGTTTATCGATACAAACTCTATCCTGATGCCCTCTTGTGGCTAGAAGACCTTGACATTGGCATGTAGCTCCTGAACATATTGCTATATGCAATAATAGAATTGATATCTATGTCCAGACATTAGCCTGGGTAGCAAACAGTTATGGTTCAATGAATGTGCCGCTGAAATCAACAGTAAAAATGAAATGCAAGTTTATCAGACTGTTTTTATTTTATTAAATGACAAAAGGCTAAAATAAGTAGATTGTACAAAATGCAAGTCACTGTAAATGTGGACATACATTTTTTTCAAGCAATAAAATGTAAATAAATGTATCATTTGATTTGTATAGAGCTTAGAATAGCTATCACCAGTATAAACATATTAGTTTGATTGTAATTTACAACCCTCATCATGTATAGGTCTCCCTGGCATGGCGAGGTCTTCTTGGTCATACTTCACGCTGGCCAGTGCGGAGAAGAGGAGTGGGGGCAGGTTCTGTTAATGTTACTCGCCACCAATATTAGACGTTGACGATCATTTATCAACGCGACTCAGTAACTAGCGCGCCATTGCTTTCACCCATCCTCAACAAAGTCCCCCAAAATGAATTTCAACGCATGCGCGACACGCCCTGTGACGTGAAATATATGGCGAGTTGGCATGAAAAAACCCTGAACTCATTACGAATGTCAATCACAAGTGCAGCTTTCATGCGGGCCTATTGCGAATGTCAGCGGCGATACTAATCCCGCCGAGCAGCCTTTCGCTTGGCATTTGTGCCGCCGCGTGTTACCGCGCAACGCCTGCGTGGTCCGAGCGACTTCGCCTCGGTCGTGGTCGCGGCGGTGGCCATTGGACCTCGGAAATATTGGCTGGCGGTGGG